GCGACGGCGGAACAGTCGCCGGCGCCGTCTCCGTCTCCGTCTCCGTCTCCGTCGCCGTCGCCGTCGCCGTCGCAGTCGTTCCCGATTGGCCATCGCCCATTGCGTAATCTTGGCACGTGACGGCGGTCGTTTGTTTCAGAGCAAGGTCGAGTACCTGGTGAAGTGGAAAGGCTTCGACGACCGGCACAACTCGTGGGAACCCGAAGAGAATATCCTCGACTCGCGCCTACTCGAAGTATTCCACGACGAGCCTCCGCCGCCATCGTCGCCTCTTCCGGTGCCGGTGCCGCTGCCGCTGCCTGTGCTGGCTGTGCCTCAGCCTCAACACGCGACCGCCCGTACGTCCTCCGCCAAGCGGTGAGCACCGGATGTCCGTTGACGCGTTGCGTCTTTGTTCATTTGCACGTTGCCGCGCACTTTTCTTTCTGCAGCCCTCCGCACGACGTTGCGCGCGCCCGACTCCATTTCCTCATTTGAGTAACGCGGTCACTTCGACACTTCATCGTTTCTTCTGTCGTCATGGCCACGACTGGCGATACCTCCTCTTTGAGTAGGGATCATGGAGTCAGCGTTGAACTTGATGTTGAGAAAAATGAGGCTTTGACATCTGATTCCCGTCTGGTCATTCGTTTTCTTCCTTTAGTGGTGGACAAAAATTAATGAGTGCCACTTCGTGGTAAGGAAGAGGTATATCAGGAGACCATACGTTATAAGGTCACCGAGCTTTAGGTTTAACTTTGAAAGAGGGTGTGGCGAGTCCTGGCTGATGATATGCAAACAGAGATTAGCGCCGTACCATAAGCTTCGTGAGAAAAAAAGATTTTTGCCCCAATGGCAACTTCGCCGTTGCTCGTTTCAAGGCCGAAGACTGTTGCCGTCCCTTTAATGTTTAATCATTACAAATAGCACTCAGTTACAGAAGTGTATAGGAAACCGAAATCCCGAAGGTGACGAACTTTCATGGAACACGTCGCTGTGGAAATGATACTAGTAGTTAAAAAATTCACTATGTTCTACGTACAGCGGAACGCGTCATATAACGAACCATGTTTCTACTGGATTTACCAGCCCTCATCGATCAAAATGGTTTTATTCTGGATGTTTAACTATTTATCATTTTCAAGGTGTTATCAGCCAGGAAACTCTGTTGGTGATCGTTACAGCCGATAGTCCCTTATACCTTATGCTTTCTTCGAACCAAGTTATACTCCAGACTCATGGCGATTGGCGGCACCAATTCATATTCCTTTACGAAGGTAAAGTAAAACTTTTCATTCATTATTTCCCTTCTGGATCCATGGCTAAAGTGCGAAGACGTGAAAAAAAAACTAACATGTCTGTAATGACGTTTTTTACACGTCTACAAACTTGCTAACAAACAAACCTGTCTTTGGAGGCCCCTCCTCACTTTTTAAGTGTAATTTTATCTCCAGCGGTTGAGCGCGATGGAAGTACTTGAGATTGCAGTATACAAACTATTATTCTCTGCTCATCTAGTGTTCAGGAGTGTATTTAGGCATGTTTCGGATTTAACATTTGTAGATAGAGGCTTCTCTGCTGTTTGACCGGCTATTGTCTTGCAGTCAATAGGAAAGAATCAATTTAAGACTGTAGCAAGAGATGAGAGGTGAGTAACGTATGTATTAACTCTCTCATTCCCCTTGGTATGGCATTGTAAATAGACACCTACTAAGCTGTGGCATAATTAACGCATTTTTCTCTTGATTCATACAGAGGACTTTCTCTTCGTCCTGAGATAATGCGTCAAAGTGATTCATGTCTGTACTCCGCCTTGCAACTACTGCCGTATATCATCACTTGTTCAGATTGTAGTGGGTCTCATTAAAACATAATACTGTTTCCTTCGGTGGTTAGTTTTGACTTCGAAACTTAAGAATTTAATGCTTGCATGGAATCATCAAAGCTCTGTTTTTCAACACACCTGTAAACGGAAGAAAACCCTGAATTCGGAATATATAATTCTTTCGTTTTCAATGCCAGCTGTTGCTTTCAAGTTGCAAGGACAGCTGCTTTAGGAGGCCTTTCAAATGCCATTGCTTCACCGGGATGGGATCCGAGAGAAAGCAAAATCCAGAATTAATTGCATACAGAAACGGGAAATGAGAACTAACTGCATGATTATCACTGGAGTGGGAAAAAACACACAGGTGTTTAACGTTGAAAATTGTCAGATAATGCTGCCGAACTGTGCTGCAGTCGTTGAGGGTGCACGCTGGGGCTGGGATAGTACCTTTTCAGTGTTTTAGGTTCGACTCCAAAGATCCTTCATGACATGAGGAATAAAGGAAATTTTCTTCTTGTTAGGATATCGACTTCCTGTACGCTTCCTCGATTTGTTAACTGCTTTGTTCATTGAGCTTCGGATGCATCGCTAATACAGCATGATTCCTTCAATGGCATATTTTTCTGTAGGCAGCTTGTACAGCTTGGTAGCCATTATGGCATAGTATCCCCCTGGTTCCTTCCCTTGGGATGAAGCTTATTCATTTTTTTGGGTAGGTAGAAGGCGAGTTGTGTGCTGGATTCGAACTCACTGTTTTTTTACTGCGCTGTCGATCGAGTTCTCTTGAGCTGGACTTAGAAAGATTTACGAATTCCTGATTTTTACTGCCTCGTTATCCAGCTCTGGAACAAAGAAACACCGCGGCATTCTTTATAGTTCCTTACTCTATTCGTCTTCGTTCTCCCTGTCGAGGACTCTTAAGTTTGACCTTACGACCTGTCTGATAGTTGAACTAATTATGGAAACGCATATTTCGTGAGTCAAAATGATGTCGCCATGGCTTTTTCAGGTTATCTCTACTGATTTTGATTGCCTCGCTCATTCTGGTCTCGTCTATTTTCTGTGAATCTGATCTTTGAGGGCTTATAAGTCATTGCATATTCGGCAGCGTATGAACATATATTGATATTTATGCGTGACATGTAAGGAGTACCGACTCCTAAAACGTCTAGTGAGCAGAGTAAGCCGGGATACGTCTGACACTGCAGAGGTTCAGATGTGCCATGGCTTTCCTAGGCAACCGGAAGCAAGAGTCGGTGTAGCACGTCGTGAAATCTGATC